CATCCTATATAGGTCCAAATATCTTAAACCGACTTAGTGGGCCCCATAGAGAGGTGCTTGGCGCAGTCTCGCGAAAACGCGAATATCTCTCTACTCCAAGATCGTATCGATGAACGGTTTAATGTGTTAGAAACTGGACTTATAGATATTTAATTTGGTTGGTAGATCACCCCGTAATTCCTTGTAAATTATGAGAAAAGATTAGAAACATTTGACCTAATGTTTAAGTAAAATTATGAACCTAAGTTGCGACAACTTTTGTCGACTTTGTTTCATAACTCGTTTGAATTCAAGACTTATGATACTGATATTATATGATTAAAATACCTTAATATATGACCTCTTGAGTGTATTAAGCACCACTAGATTACCTGAAAATACGAGTTACAACATCCTTGATTCGTTTAACTTCTAATACTTGTTAATCACCCTTATACACTCTTGTATCACTTAAGACTAATAAGATTGACTTCTTATCATCTCAAAGATAATTCTTTCTTGGATTTATGTTAACTAATATATGGCATGAACTAACACATGTGAATATGGGTTGTAACATTAAATGTGTTTACCATCAAATACGGATAACAATTAAATTTATAAGTGGTTTTAAGGGTACGTGAATTAATTCAATACAAACGGTAAATATTGCTAGATTGAGAAGATAAAAGATGTAATAAATTACCAAACCACTCGAAAAGAAGGGAGAGGGGATGATTCTGGACTAGATGGTAGCCTCAATGAGATATATGTCCTCCATCCCAGACTTATAGTAATGAAACAGAGACTTATAGTAATGAAACACTGATCAACAAATGTAAGTACTTTGAATAACATAAAAATAATAATCTATTGCCTTGGTACGTGTGTTATAATGTGTTCAATGAACAATCAGACCTCCCATTCCCCCATATATAGTAGGAGAATCCTATTCTAGGTGCAATTTCATAAAAAGGTAAAAAATCTTCCGCTTAACTAACCATCGGATTTCCGCCAGTACGTGCTGAGATCTACGTTGTGATCCCCGACTGGTCACGGATATCATCATGTCTCTTGCTTGATTTACCTTATTGGATATCGGGGCATCGTAGAGGCCCAGTTTTACCCGTATACAGATAGTCCCCTCGTTTCTCAGAGAGTAAGTTTTACGGAAACGACTGTGAGCACGTGATTTTTGCCCTATCTGAATTACTCCCATAATTTCAAAACAAAATAATTTCTTTTCAGTATTTGCAATTTTATGGATTTTCGTGGCATTTTATGTTAAATGTTTGCATTTGTCTGTGCATGTTTATTTTATTTTATTTAACTAATGGAAAATACAAAAATACGTACATTTGCATTTAGGATTTAATTTGACATTTTAGGATTAATTAATTAATTAAGTTGTTTTATAAAAAGGAAAATCACAAAAATAGTTTATTTTTGCGCTTTTGAATTTCGTCGCTTTCTTTAATTTGGGAATTAAATAGTTGTGATAATTATTATTTAGAGTTAGTTAATTTAATTTGATAAGGATTATTTGATTAGGGATTAATTTAGGTTTTATTTTTAAAATTTTAATTTAAAAGAATTTTGAAAAATTGAATTGAAAAGAAAAAGGGAATAAAATAAGAAGAGAGCCAGATCTGGGCCATTAATTTGAGGCCCAAAAATTTCCTACCCGACCCAATTCCCTAGACCTAAAGGGATGAGGATCACAATAGAGATTAGATTTTTAGGCCTAAGCTAAAGAGAAAAATGGAAAACAGACCCTTATACCAAAAAACGAGCTGCTCTATCTTCTTCACAAGCTAACCATCGGATCCTAATCTTCAGCAGCTAACGACGACCCCCTCCCTATCATTCTTCTTTCTTTTTCTTTAATCCATATTCGTGCACGCCCTTGAAGATCTGGTTGAAGAAGTCACAAGAAAGAAGCGAAAATTCCAAAATCGGATTTGAAAAGCTAAACAAGTTGAATTTCTTAAAAATCTGGATTTCTAGTTGTCTCTCAGAGTCAAAATCACCGTTGTTCATTGTTGAAGCTGTTGTATCTGCGTAGCTGAACTCTCTCCGATTTTCTTGACCTTTATTTGGGTTCATTTCCTTCTTCTTGTGATAAATTCAAGGTAAATGTTCTTATATCTCGCTAAATGTGCTGAGTTTTGTAAGATCTTATAGTTTTTATGGTGCTGAAATTGAATTGCATTCTTGGAATCATGATTTCGATTATTAGATCTGTTTTATTGGTGTTTATATGTTAACGACTAAGTTATGCTAATGACTTGGGTCTGAGTTTTTTAAAATTGGAGTTAGTTGTTAATCTGTGTCATTTGGTTTCTATTGTTGTTCTGTACTTTCATGATTTATTCGTTGTTCAAATGTTGACATTTATTTGCTTAATTTTATTGTTTTCCCCAGTATTAGTTTGATGTTCTTACTGTTAAATCTCATCCGCTATTACAAACTCTGTATGACTATGAGACTCGGTTAAAAATAGTATATTGGGCTTTATATCCATCTAGCCACCAACAGACAAATAATATGTCGATATTTTTTTTCCAGAAACATAATGAAGTACGACATTAAGTTATATTTTAAGAGGAGTAGACAACCTTTTGCCAGTATATGAAAAGAAGAAGCATTTGCAAAATCTGAGCCTCCTTCGTATCATGAGGAACTTTTAAAATTATGTTTAAATGTAATGAATGCATATGTTTGGATTTGTTTGGCCACACTTGTAAAATTGTTATGATTTACATTGATTTATATATGTAATAAGCTCACTCGAACTTGGAACGTTATTTCACTCTCATTAGTCTATTGATTTGTCCATGGTCTGATGAATGCATAATTGTTAACATGTCGCAGGGACTTGAGTTTGTTACTGAATCAATGACTAACCCCATTTCCAAAAACGATTCTCATAATTCGTGGCTTTGCAATAACCTCAAATTTAGGAAAAGAAATAATTCCGAACATCATAGCTTGCTTTAGGTGCGATTAATAAACCATCGTGATTGTGGGTACGGTTCCCGTGACATAGTTACGATGCCTAACTTCCTTAAACTCGGGTGTGCATTTATGTGACCCAAATCCAAATCTCAACAACGTTAGATAAAATGTGTCGTGGATCGCGGGTGCATTTATGTGACGTGGTTCAAGATGTATTTTAGATGACGTTGAATCTTCCTAAAATTAATTAAAAGCGGTTAATAAGTTAAAATTGTACCATAGGCTAAAACATGTACTAAAATCAAGTAAATAGGTCAATTATGACAGTTGAGCGACCGTTCTAGAACCACGGAACTCGGGAATGCCTAACACCTTCTCCCGAGTTAACAAAATTCCTTACCCGGATTTCTGTGTTCGCGGATCGATAATAGAGTCAATCCTTTCCTCGATTCGGGATTTAAACCGGTGACTTGGGACACCATAAATTATCCCAAGTGGTGACTCTGAATTTCAAATTATCCCGGTGACTCTGTCACTTAAATTGGAAAAACTTCCCCTATATACTACCCTTTCGGGGTGTAGGAATAAATGAGGTGTGACAGCTCTGGCGACTCTGCTGGGGATTTAACCGAGAATCTCTGGTTCAGGGTTCAGAATTCGAGCTTAGAATAATTGTTGTATTTGGCTTTATTTATTATCTGATTTTATTCACATGTTTGGGCCTAATGTGCTAAGTGTTGTTTTTTACCGCTTTGATATTATCTGAACTGTATATAAACTGTTACGAAACCCTTCTCTTCTCATCTTCGGGGATGTGTACGCTAGCGTGACTCCCTATTTTGCTAGTGTCATACCTTGAAATAAGAAAGAGGATCGGACAAGTTACTAAGCCGGATGGCCTTTTGGTTCCCGGTACGTATCCCCCTCATCAGCTCGAGTTGTCCGCTCGGGTGCACAAGTCTAGAACAGTATACCCAGGTTTTATACTTAAAATAACTCATCCTCATGTCGGATCCCTAGTAGGAACGTTTGCTTGCATCACGTGCATTTGACTTTGGAGACTCAACACAGGGGTTAAGTCTCTCTAGGACAGGTGTACCTGAAATGAAAAGACCATCCTGATGCATCTTACGTGCTACTTGCGTATTTGTCTATTTCAGGTTGCATGTTGACCGACTTCTAGAATAGGGAAAGAAAATGAGAAAATCAAAAAAAAAGTGAGAGGTAGGTATTTAGAAAATTTTGAAACTCTGCCAAAATTCTGGAAAAAAAGAAAGAAAAGTCATTTCAAAATAAGTCAATTTCTGTTCCGTCAAAACTGGGCGAACTACGCCGGTCTGATTCTCATCGGATGTGAGATACGTAGGCAAACCTCATCGGTTCCGGCCCATAATTTTCAAAAAATCCAAAAATATTTTCCTTTACTTCCTCTCTAGAAAAGTCTTTTTTTTGAGACCTTAATCTTCAAAAAATCCAAAAATATTTTCCTTTACTTCCTCTCTAGAAAAGTCTTTTTTTTGAGACCTTAATCTTCAAAAAATCCAAAAATATTTTACGTTACTTGCTTTAGAAAGCCTTTCTTTTAGACCCTACTTGTTTTTTAAAAAAATATACAAAAATATTTTCTTTTAATTTCTTCCAAAAATCCAAAAATGTTTTCATTCTTCTTTCAAAATTGAAAAGAAAATTCAAAATTCAAAAATATTTTCTTTTTAGAAGCATTTCTTTCATAAATTCAAAATAAAATTCCAAAAATATTTTATTTCTTCTTTAGAAGTTTTTCTTTCAAAATTTCAGGAAAAAAAAATTCTTTCTTCTTTAGAAGTCTTTCTTTGCAAAAATGCTGAAGAAAAATCAAAATCCAAAAATATTCCCTTTCTTTTTTATAAGTCTTTCTTTCGAAAAAATAAAATAAAAAAAAAATCAAAACAAAAAGTTAGTTTATTTACTTTATTCATGATCTTCCGAACTACGCAAGATCTGATTCATGTTCCCACATGATATGTAGGCAACCCACATCAGGTTCGATCACTATTAAAAAGAAATGAAAAAATGAAGAAATGAAAAAATATTGATAATAATTAGGACCGACTGGGTCTATTCTAACATGTTTTGTTTTGAATTGTGAAGAAAGTTGTGGTGGTAAGTTTGTGGTAAGCTGGAAACACAAGATCCAAGGAAAAATGATAATAGACATCGAAGCTGTTACAAGTGTTCAAGAGACTCAGGGTCAGAGGGTTCAATAAGAGTCTACTGTGTTTGAGAAAAATAGAATGTTGAAAAAGCAAATGACTGAAATGTGTCAAGTATGGGCCAGTGGTCAAGGACAGCCTTATCATGAGTCACAATTTTCTATACAGTAAGAGCAGTACCACTCTCTTGAGTACCACTCGTACTCATTTGATCTTCCTGCAAACATTGAGAAACCTGCCCGAAAAATGGTACAGGAAGAAATGACCCAAAGAGTGAAAAACTTAGAACAACGGTTGAAAAACATGCAAGGGTTGTCAGGTCAAAAGAGTGTTGCCTTCAAAGATCTATGTATGTTCCCCGATGTCCATTTGCCGCCTGGTTTCAAGACTCCCAAATTTGAAAAGTATGATGGACATGGAGATCTCATAGCCCACCTAAAAAGGTATTGCAATCAATTGAGAGGTGCAGGAAGAAATGAAGAATTGTTGATGGCTTATTTTGGAGAAAGCCTTACGGGATTAGTCTCCGAATGGTTTATGGATCAAGACACGTCTCACTGGTATGTCTGGGATGACATGGCACAGGCCTTTGTCAAACAATTCCAATACAACATCGACATTGCCCCATACCGCATTTCCCTTTCAAACCTGAAGAAGAAACCAACTGAAAGTTTCAAGGAATATGCCATTAAATGGAGAGATCAAGCAGCTAGAGTTAAGCCACCCATGGACGACCACGAGCTAATCACTGTCTTCCTTCACGCTCAAGAGCCTGATTATTCTCAAAACATGATGTCCGCAGTTGGCAAATCCTTCTCGGAAGCAATCAAAATGGGAGAAATGGTAGAGAATGGTTTTAAGACAGGCAAAATTATAAGTCAAGCAGTTTTTAAAGCCGCAACTCAGGCTGTCCAGGTTGAATCTGATAATTTTAGCGACACAAATGAGAAGGTTGAAGAAATCATGATGACATCAGGGTCGAGAAGAGGTCCCATGAGAACATTTCGAATGTATGAGCAGTCTCCTCAAGTTTTCCATGACTTCCCTGAGCAGTATTATCCACCTCAGAACCCTCAATACTCTGTCGCTCTACCTCAGTATGTTGTCCAGCCACCAAAACACCCCAGAAGGCGAGTACGAGCATCACAAAATCTCCAACAACCTCCACAAAATTTTCAGGTGCCCTATAACCCATATCCAAGCCAGAGGTATAAAGGGGAACAAAGGTTGAAAGATAATTTTACACCAATAGGAGAGTCCTATGCAAGCTTATTTGGGAAGTTAAAGCATTATGGCATGATTGCACTTATTCCTCCAAATCATGTGGACCCACGTGCAAGAAGCTTTGACCCTTCTAAAAGGTGTGAATACCATTCCAATGCCCAGGGGCACAATGTTGAAAGCTGTCAGGATTTGAAAAGATAAATAGAAAGGATGATCCAGGAAAGCCTGATTGTGATCCAAGACAATGACACCAAAATGTCGCGCAGAATCCTTTATCTGCACATCATGATGCACGCTTTGTAGGGATGATGCCTGGTGACATGGAGTGTGAGAATCCTCTCGGGAACTTGCTAACTGAAGTTAATGATGTTGAAATTGGAGAAGGCTCTGCTGATGAGCAAATTTGTGGCTAAATGTCAAGCCTAGAAATTGAAAAGTCATTCCCTCATCACTAGGAAGGAATCTTGGTAGCTTGTTTTGATGTTTTTTTCTATTATCTGGGTTATTTCAGGGTTGTGATCCAGATTTTATTTATTTTATTGAGTCAAACCCTTCTATCCCTCCATTCTATTTGTGTGAGTCTTGTTTGTCTGTTCTGTGGCTATTTTTATTATTCGGGTTATTTTAGGGTTGTAACTCGTATTTTAGGTTGCTTGGTTAGTTATAAAACCCTTTCATCTTTTACTTAATAAAATACAGTTTGTCCTTTTGTGTCATTCTATTCCTAGTTCTTTTCTCGCTAGTTCTAATGACATGACATGCATGCAAAAAATTTGGCTAGATCTTAGGAACTGATTTAATCTGGAATCCGATAACTAAAAAAAATACTTTTGAGGATGAATAAAGAGTTGGAATACTTTGGAACTAAGGTCGAGTAAAATTCACCTTCAAATCATTGTGAAGATCGGGCTTGAGGATGTTTAATCAATTGATGTTTATTGGAAAATTTGTCACTAAGGGATGAAAAAATGTCTTGTGACCACGGCACACCAAGAAGACAGACATGTTCGTCAATGCTGTGATCGCGAAAAGATACCATGTTTGACGTTCTTGAGGTTGGGAGGCCCTTTTTCTGCTAACCAAACACTTTATATCCTTTGCTACCCCTTTTGAGCCTGTGTTATTTTTCTGTGACTACCCTCTTTTAGAATTAAGTTTAGAGTCAAAAAAAAAAAAAAATCCATGTCCCAAGAGTACAAATTGGGGCAATTCTTAGAAAGTTCAGAGAAAAAAAATTGTCAAAGGTCCATACCCTCAAAAATAGAAGCTGGGGAAAAGAAAAAAAAGAAAAAAAAGAAAAGGAAAAAAAGAGAAAAAAAAAAGAAAAAGGAAAAGAGAAACAGAAAGAAAGATGAAAAATAGTTTAGGCCAGATATTTGAACTATGTTCGACCTGATTCCTTAAAAAATAAGGATACGTAGGCAGCCTCACGATTCGGTCCAGCCAAATAAGAATTCAAAAAAAAAAAAAAA